GGCATGGCTTGGTGGTTGTGGTTTGGTGGGCGTGGCAGGGTAAGGATACTACGAAATCTCCATTCCCTCCCCACCCCACTAACCTGCTTTCCAGCTCTGTTCTCCTGTGCAGGGCAACCAAAGAAGACCCAGCCAATCAGCTGGGACTCGGGAGGCGGAGAATAGATGGGGGCGGGGCCAGTCAGAGGTGGTATTTGCTGGTTCTCTGAACTACTCAAAAATTCCGCTACCGATTCTCTAGAACTGGTTGGAACTGCTGAATACCACCTCTGCTGCTGTGCCTCTGCCAGTGAAAATGGAGTTCAGGAGGCCTCCTGGGCTCCATTTTCTGCCACAACAGCCTCCCGGAGCCCCCGGCCAGTGAAAATGGAGCTCAGGCAGGCCACATGTGGCCTTCCCCAGGCTCTGTTTTCTCTGGCAGAGGGCTCCAGGAAGCCATTGGAGCTGAAAATGGAGCCTCGATGAGTGACATCAAGCTGGCCACGCCCCCCCAAGGTCAATCATGACCCTAACGTGGCCCTCAATGAAATTGAGTTTGACAGTTCTGATCTAAGAGAAGGCCATATTTTATTTAATAGGTTAAGGCATTGGTGGTAACATTTTTGGGCTCCTGTGTCGAAAATTGCTTGCGTGCCAGCACCCAGAAGGCAATGCATGCACCCCCATGCCCCCTGCGCATGTGTGTGACCCCCCATGCACCCCACACATCTCTGCACATGCACACGCATCTCCCATGCACTCCCACCCCTTGCACATGCACACCAGATACCGGACAATAAATGGGTGGGTGGGCAGTGTGCACGCATACGCAGTGAAGCTCTTCTGGGTGACCTCTCACGTGCTGGCAGAAGTGGCTCCATGTGCCACTTCGAGCACTCATGCCATAGGTTCGACATCATGGGGGTTAAGGCATGTTGCACATGAATTCATTTTTTCCCCTCTCTTTTGATATTCACAGTATTTTTCAAAAAGCCCAACATATCCCTTTCAGGTGAGGGATGTCCTGGTCAGCAGCTTTTAATTAAATTACATTTTT